TAATTGCCGGTTCGTATTTGGTCAATTGTGCTTGAAATGATACAACTGAGAAAGATGCCATTCAAAAGCTAAACAACTAATTCTTATCAATATGGAAAAATTGAATCTATCACTTAAGTCGGAGGGTACAAGGGCACACTAAATTTAGATTACTTTTTTATACACAGGCATGCATCTAATATCGGTGAAAGTCCATAGCGGGAATATAAGTGATGCCATGTGACAACTTTCATAATTGCATCATATAAACTTTTTACCACAATGTCGTAATATCGGCTCGCTAAAAGAGTAGAGAGGTTCAGATTTAACTTCCACTAGCGCTACCACTCACTAGCTTAGTACGCATCTGACTGGTTAATCGCGGATAAACCAAACTCATCTGATCGGTTAATAGCGGGTAGCGATCTGATATAATTGTTTGATGATCAGCGTTGAATTAATCATTTATATAGTCTTTAATTAAAGAAAAAGAGAAGAAATAAAATTGTGTTGTCAGTCTAATAAATGTATAAAATTCCACTCGAAATTTCCATTTACAAAATCTCTTCAACAATCAGTATAGTTATATCGAGTGAGATGCCCAAAGTGACGGTCAACCGAGTCAGCTGTTGACTCGGTAAGAATTTTCGTGAAAAACTTAAAACAAGATGATTTCAAGTATAGGAAGTGATCCAACTGTACATGTAGTTTTCTTCAAGCGAACCAGAGCCGTACGCATGATATTTTCAACAGGGAGCAGTAAGAACGAACCGAAAGTACTAAAGAATTTCGACGTTTCAAGCCGGAAAAAAGCCGTTCGTTGCCTGAACTCTTAAGGCAGGTTTGCACAAGGGAAACGGACGGTTATTAAGCCGTGTAGCAAAGCACAGAACACGTCACAAGTAATATACAAAATTATTCTGGTTATAAATAATATATGGTAATTATACAAACTATGTCTTACGTCATCTATAACGACTCTGAATGCCATACGCCAAAATGATGTACGTTTTTGGCTTTTTATCCATCTGCCAGAGCGCCAGTTTGCCAGAGAGCCGGCAGTTTTGCCAGAGCGCCAGTTTGCCAGAGCGCCAGTTTTGCCAGAGCGCCAGTTTTGCCAGAGCGCCAGTTTTGCCAGAGTGCCAGTTTCGCCAGAGTGCCAGTTTTGCCAGAGCGCCAGTTTGCCAGAGCGCCAGTTTTGCCAGAGTGCCAGTTTCGCCAGAGCGCCAGTTTCGCCAGAGTGCCAGTTTTGCCAGAGCGCCAGTTTTGCCAGAGCGCCAGTTTTGCCAGAGCGCCAGTTTGCCAGAGTGCCAGTTTCGCCAGCAGTTTTGCCAGAGCGCCAGTTTTGCCAGAGCGCCAGTTTTGCCAGAGCGCCAGTTTTGCCAGAGCGCCAGTTTAGCCAGTAAAGTGCTAGTCAGTTTTGCCAGTTTGCCAGTTTTGCCAGAGCGCCAGTTTTGCCAGAGCGCCAGTTTTGCCAGAGTGCCAGTTTTACTAAAGTGCTAGTCAGTTTTGCCAGAGCGCCAGTTTGCCAGTTTTGCCAGAGCGCCAGTTTTGCCAGAGCGCCATTTTTGCCAGAGTGCCAGTTTTGCCAGTGGCAAGTAAAGGAATTCGCTGCTTTTCTTTCAAACCATATCGTATACTGAACTTAACTAAACGTACTGATTTGTTTCAGAGAATTAAAACAGAAATTACTTTGACGCAAAAGAAAATGCTGAAATATATTGCGATATAACATTCGGCAAAACCAGTAATCGGCCCGAATAATCGTTGTGTGCAAACGTAGCTTAATGAGACACTAAATTAAATTAACAATTCAGTATATAGTCGAGTATATATATATAGTCGCATTATCCATTCATCTGTAATATTATTGTTATTCATCTGCACTATTATTATGTAGATATAGTTCCATAGTTACTGTTGCTTTAATTTAATGCGACACTAAATCAGTAGCTAAATGACAGTTAGAACACTTGGTGATCAAAAGACAGGATAATATTAGATAGGTAGAGTTAATTATTTTGTATATAAGTTATGTTATGTATGTAAATATATTTCAAATTAGAAGTGTTGCATTTTTATAGCATGGCTTCCTTGCGAAACGACTATACATATTAAAGGAGCAGTGTCACCGTTTGCGCAACTTTTCTGCGCATAGTGAAATTTGATATCGTTGGGCCAACGTTTTCAAACTATTTCACTATCATATTTCACTATTCAAGATGGCGTCCTTGCAGGGAGCTGTGCGAGGAGGTCATCGTGAAAATGCAGGACGAAAAAGGAAATATGAAGGCGAAAATCGAAGAAAATCGTGGGGAGGTCAACACAAGAGGATCTATATTTATTGAATAACATTTTTGAAGCGTGGAAAAGCTCAAAAAGCGAGGCGGGATACGACAAATGTAGTCATAGCGACTTCGCCGCGCATCTGTTATCTTTAGAGTATAGAAGAAGGTACGGATAATGAAATTTGTATGTTTAAGTTTGATTCAATTTGTAAGACGTAATGAAATGTGTGCTGTTTAACTATTTTAGGTCGGAAATAAAGCATTCACAGCGACGAACGCAAAGTGAAGCAACCACCGAATGTGCTACAGAAATAACAGAACAAGCCATTCAAAATATTTATCAAGGTAATCCCTATGCGTCCACAAACATAAATAGCCCCAAATGATATACTATTACAGTAAACAAGCAACAGAATGCTATATCAATGTTGATGAATTGTCAAATGGGTAGTTCAATGAATGGATGTAATGCATTGAACATGGCCGATTACAATGGATTACAATTTCTTTAAGGCCAAGAAACATCCACGCCGTTAAAAACTGGAGAAAGCCTACAGCTTCCTTCTCCATCTGAATCCCCTGTTATTGGAGATGAAGTCGAGGATAATACCATTGCAACAATTGATGCGAATACAAGCTTTGCTCGGTCTGATGCAACCCTTCTTGACAGGTACTGATTGTAAAGTAATATTTGTAGTTTATTATGGAATTGTGAATGTGCGTAGCAACAATATATTTGTTGTATCTCAAATTATTTATATCTGGTTCTACTATAACCAATGCAATAAATGTGTCCATGTTCACGGATGATCACCAATGGCTAGGGGGACAATGTGACCATGTTGATACAGATGGTGATGATAGCCATGACAAAAGTCTTCCCTTTTTTGATCGTCGAGATAAAGACTTTATCGAGTTACAAAAAGTTATTTTAAACCCTCAACTACTTGACAGTTTCAAGTATTATACTCGTTTCAGGTAAAGTAAAAGTGTCTTGTCACAAGCCCTAGTTGCAGGTGTGACGTTGCGAATATCCCGTGATTGGGGGGGGGGGTGCTGCCAGCCCGAAATTTCCAACAGAATTTCAAAATTTTCCAATGACCTCCCCCCTCTGCCCAAATATTTTTCAGAAAGACCTAACATAAAGGTGGCTTTTAGCCCTATTTACGATACTGGGTATTTAGGTACCTCTTCCCCCGAAAAAATTGTTGCTGTTTATTGTGCCAATGGACACTGCATTTGGGGGGGGGCACCCCCATAGCTACGTCCCTGCCTGGTTGTTACAATACATGTCTCAAAGACAATGTTGAATTATATAGGCATTTTTTTAAATATTTCATCTGCTTTAGGCATACTGGTAGTATTGAGTGTGTGAACAGTCTTGGTTTGGTATATACTCCAAAGAGAATTCCCTTCAAGTAAGTTTTTAGCAAGTATGAATATGACACATTGATGGTACTCCAAGTGTCCATGCCAAGCAGGCTGAAAACCTGGCCATGGTGAGAATTGAACCTGCGATCTGCTGTGCCCAGTCAACATCAATATATCATATTCACCTGAGTATAAAACACCAACACAAATTTTCAAAATACAAAAAAAAATATTACAACCCCTTATTTTTTTAAGAAATATTTTAAATTTTTTATGACACCCCGCCCCCCTCTCTAGTGAGAATATATATTTCATAGCCACCCCCCCCCCATTCATGCTGAAAATATGTTTGTGCCCCCCTTTTACACCTTAAAACTTTTTCATAGCCCCCCATTGGGCATTAATAATGACTGATTAATTTAATTTTAGTTATCAAACTTACAAAGCAAGACGGCAACTCACTGCTATTGATTGGAATTTCCATGTTGACCTCCCACAGAAAACATCCAAGTCTGGTAATAACGTTGTCACCCGAAAATACAACCAGAGAACCCGGCAGTGGGATATTAAGAAGGTAAAGCAAGAAAAAGGATATGCATACATCCCAGTGCTTATTTCCCACATGATGAGGAGAAGAGCTATGGACACAGATTTTGTTACAACAGTCGTTGATCTGAACAAGAGCGACCCGGCCCTTATATCGCCAACTATTGCACATGTTCCACCACCAACCACTAAAGAAATCATTACAAGAAGAAGCAGATTTGCAAAACAATAAATATTGAAGATTGATGTCAGTGATTGCTGCCATTTCAAAATGCAGTGACTAATTAATGTAAATATTTTGAGGCAATTTGCTGTGCTTCTAAAATTTAATGTACACAATTAATTATCTATTTTTTTGTTATCATTGCAAATTTAAATAAATAATCACAGCTCTAAATATGAACTAAATATTAACCATTATGTACATTGTACCGTACCAATGCACTAACTTGTTATATGCACTCAGAAGAATTGGGTTCAAATGTTTGGATTTATAAGTTGGTGCATTTCAGCAGAGTGCCACTGAGTCAATAGATTTAATATACACTGTAACAGCAAATGATGCAATCATGGCCGTAGGAACCATGGGGGGCAGGGCCCCCTGAAAATTCTAATTTCTAAGTGAATCTCGAAATGAATGCACAGTTGCACATGTTTTGAGTTTGCATAATACAGATCAATCTAGGTAAATCTAACCCCTGGAAAGAGTGGAAAATAAAAATCGCTGTTGAGCCTGCCTTATTTTTATCATCTTCCTTCAGCCCTGTATGCAATGTCCATGCAACACATTATGTTAAGGTACATAGTTTACTGTACTTAGTTTTCCCTATACCCCATGTAAACTCCAGTAATGGATGGCCACCGTTCCCTTATTTTCATTACTACACATGAAGGGTAGACTCGTCTGTTTCCTTTACCAAGATGCCCATGGCGTGCAAGAATAAATTGCCTATAGGCTGCTTTTCGAAAAGCCCTACTGCTGTTGTCTTCTCTATCGTTTCTTATATCCCCTGTGTTTCTTATGCACAACTCGATCACATCAGGATCCAGACACAATTTCGCGAATCGGGAAGAAAGCGTTATGCATTTTTTAAGTTTGCAACATTTATTCTCGACATCTTGTGTCATGGGGTGACATCTGCCACAAACACACCAATCTGGAACAGAACCTGATGCTGAATCATCTATCTGATCTGGGTTATGTGTGTCGGAAGGAACAGGACCTTTGTTCTTTGTTTCACTGTCTGCCAATGCTGAACCAGTTGGTTGCTCAGTTGATGCTTGACCAAACTCACCAAAATTTTCATCCTCATCAAGATCATCCTCCATTATGAGCAATGTTTCTATGTAGTCCATACTACCGATCCCTCTTCGCAAGCTTCTTATAGCTAGTTTTTTTACCATGGCCTCATCTAAGGTTGCAATAAAATCCTAAAATTGTACAAATGTATTTGTAGCCTATATAAAATAATATATTCTTGGCTTTCAACTATTCACAGGAGAGACAAATGGACAAAATTAATGTCCACCAGTGACTGTGGTTTCTTTTATCAAGACGACCAGCATGGCTGTCATGTCTTTTGTTCAATTGTCTCTCCTGGGAATAGTTGAAAACCAAGAATAGGCTAAATTCATGTTCATAAGTTCAACAATGACAATAAATTTACTTTTACTTGTGAACCCAAAGTGAAACTATAAATCCTTTCAAATGCACTATAACCAAGTACCCAGTGGCGTAACTACTATGGTCTCAGACCGGGAGACCCCGGGGGCCCCCAACCCAAATGGGGGCCCCCAGGCTTAGACAATAGAGCAAAAATATTGGTCAGGGCCTCTGATATGTTACAATGTCGTTTTACGACCATCAGAATTCTGTAAAATCTCTCCCCAAAGTCCAGGAAATGGCATTTGAGAGAGTCTAGATTCAAAAATTTTCCGGATGAGCATGCCCTGGACCCCCTAGAAAACTCGTGCATATACGGGGCTCGACTCGTGCCTTTGGTACGTCCACTAGGGGGGCCTTCGAAAATTTTGAACCGGGGGCCCCCTGATATAACGTTACGCCACTGCAAGTCCTGCATGTACAGTACCTTACTGTAAACTGTATATGTATACAGTATTTCAATATATTGAAAAATCTCTATTACAGACCCTATAAGTTAACCTTGTTTACTTTTTTTGGTAGTCAAATAAGCATGAACGAGAGCAATGCTGCATTAGCAGAGTAAGAATACAATACAATACATTCTAGGTAGTTTTTGCCTGCCAAAAACGTAAACAAAGTTTACCAAACATGCAAAAAGGGCTTCATTTAAAACGTATTCAACAAATTCAAGTATGCGCTATACCTTGACATCTTTGTGCTCCTTTTCCCTCTGTGTCTCCTCTGACTCGGTTGGTTTAGAACTAAGACGAAAGCCTTTTTCTTTGCCTTGTTTTGCACGAGTATCCGTAGCTTTTTCACTCCTGTTGTCTCTTTCCCTTCCCATGTTTTTTGTCATTGCCTAGACGAAAATCATAAAAGCAATTGTTAAATTCATGCTTTCGATTTATCATTTTAATGTTTAAATTAATATATTGACATACTTACTCTATTCTTGCAAGGTTTATCGCGAGTACCACACCGGCATTTATCCGAACATTCGACATTTCGCCCTTTGCAACGACAACCTCGAGTTTCATTCTCTTTCCTTTTTACACTGCAAGAACTTTTACAATCACAGTGGCTTTCCTATGCAAATGTGGGAATGATCAATTCAACATTTTCCATCTATGTATTGTATGCAAATAAATGCAAATTTTTACTCACCATTTTGATTTTTCACACTTGCGCCGAATGGTTCCGGCCATTTCCGAAATGTTTTGTTTATGCGCAGCAAAGATGCGCAAACGGTGACACTGCTCCTTTAAGAAAGGCAGAATATTCATGAGCATGGTGTGTCAACAACTGGCGCGCACAATTTCCCGCCAAAAATTAATTTACGCAGTTCATGCTAGCCTGCATGCGCGCAGTCTTATGACTTCAAAACGATGTCGATATCATGAGACTGCGCGCTGGCTAAGTTTAACAGTATGCTACCAATTTCAGCAACAACTCTTGTTTTTAAAGTGCTTATGTCACAAAAATTGTTTTTTGATATTTGGTAGAGGACAAAAAGTTAGTTAATAGGTTCTTTAACATTTTTCGGTTTTCTCTTTTCATTCGCGAGATATGAAAACGTCTAGAAACAAAGTAAACATAGAACTAAGGAATGCCAAAAAGGATTACTATTCCTCAAAAATAGCTGGTCAAAAATTCAATCCTAAAAAAGCTTGGAAAAGTATAAACAACTTATTAGGTAGGCAAAACAAACCAACAGTGGTGAATGAGATTAATCTAGGGGGAAAAAATTTTACAACTCCCAAAGATATTGCAGAGGGCTTTAATGATTACTTTTCAAATATTGGGCCTGATTTAGCTAGCAAAATTGATACTTCAAATTATAATTTTGAAACATATACTAAAACTGCTGAATCAGAATTTGCAGCATTCCAGCCTGTTACTGTCAGTCATGTCTGTCGTCTCTTGCATGGGCTTTCCAGCAATAAAGCCACTGGCATTGATAAAATTTCTTGTAAAATTATTAAGATAGCTGCACCAGCTATTTCAGACTCATTGACGTTTATTTTCAATCAGGCTATAACTCTATCCTCCTTTCCTAATGAATGGAAAATGGCAAGAGTAATACCTTTGTATAAAAATGGCCAACGGAATATTCCAGGAAACTATAGACCAATATCAGTTTTACCTGCGATTAGCAAAATTATGGAGCGAATTATGTATGATCAACTGTATAACTATTTAACAAAATTTGAACTCCTTAGTGATTCTCAATTCGGTTTTCGAAAATCTCATTCTACAGCAACTGCATTACTGGACTGTACCAATGATTGGTATATGAATCTAGACAGAAAAATGTTTAACCTAGTAGTCCTAATTGATCTAAAAAAAGCATTTGATACTGTTGATCATCAAATTCTATTGAGGAAGTTAGAACTTTATGGAATAAAAGGAGAAGCTCTAACTTTGCTCAAATCTTATCTCACAAACAGAAACCAGAAGTGCCAAATTAAGAATTCCTTTTCTACAGAGCGATTGATTAAATGCGGTGTACCACAAGGCTCTATCTTAGGACCACTATTCTTTCTGCTATATATAAATGATTTACCTCAGTGTCTAAACAAAACAAAACCTCGATTGTTTGCTGACGACACAAATCTGACAGCATCGGGAGATTCTATAATTGACCTTGAAACTGCAGTAAATTCTGATTTGGAAAACCTCAGAAAATGGTTAATTGCCAATAAACTTAGTCTAAATGTAGCTAAGACAGAATTTATGTTAATTGGTTCAAACGCAATGATTAAAAAAAATTCTGATTCACATTTAAATGTTTTCATTGAAAATAAGCAAATTAAACAAGTTAGCGAATGCAAAACTCTTGGAGTAATAGTTGACCAGCATTTGTCTTGGAAAAGTAATTCCGAAAATATATGCAAAAAAATAACTGCAGGAATCTCTGCTATTCGCCGAGTCAAACCTTTCGTTGACAAAAATACACTCAATTCGATATATAATGCTATTGTCCGCCCATACTTTGATTACTGTTGTGAAGTATGGGATGTGTTTGGTGAATCACAATCAAAACGACTCCAAAAACTTCAAAATAGAGCTGCTAGAATTATCTTGAACATGAGTAATGACGTAAATCATTCCATTGCTCTACGTGCATTGGGCTGGGAGCCACTCAAAACTGAAAGGAAGAAAGCTAAGGCAAAAATGATGTACAAAGTATTAAATAAAATGGGTCCTAAATCACTCACCAATCTTTTTTCATACAAATGTGAGAAAACAAACTACAACCTTCGTGACATTTCAAGTGGTCTTAGTTTACCAAAACCGCGTACTAACAACATGAAAAATAGTTTCATGTATGACGGAGCACACCTTTGGAATTCTATTCCAAAGGAAATTAGGGAAAGCAAAACTCTTTCATCCTTTAGAAATAAAATCGCTGCTCACAAAATTGACATAGAGTAAATTGATGTAACTGTAAATATTCTAATAACCTTCTTATCATGTAAATAATTTAATATTCTACCTTTTTAAACTTAAGTATTTTAATATCTCCATGTAACATTTTTCTATTTTTGCACACGCCCCCCGTGGAAATCAGCTTCGGTTGACGGGGTCAGCGTGTATAAATAAAGTTTCTATCTATCTATCTAAAAATTGGCTTTTAGCGAAAAATTGTCGCGCCCGAGAAAAAACCGGAAAAGGGTCTGGGGCGAGAGCCGTGTGACGTAGCTTAAGGGACGGAAGTTCGAATTCACATGTGAAGGAGTACTAAAAAGCTATTGGGAAGACATATGTGTTTCAGCACTCATGGTTCTTAATGTGACTCAGAATACAATTATATTCCTAGGTATATTATACAGGATGAATCAAATGATACTAGTCACGAAATTGGAACTCTAGAAGCAGTTGATAGCGAAATTTTAGGCGATTATGATGCATATTGTCTTTATGCCGATGAGGCGCTAGCGAGCCAAGAATGGCAAGAATGCTACGCGCGATAAAAGCTACGCGCGATATTTAAAACTATGCGGAACACAAGGAACAAAACGAGATGCTAGAACGAAGATTAGACGGCCTTGAAGATATTAAATCATGGTGAGCGTAAACATAAATTTATTTAACATTTTAACGGCGTAAAACAAGTATCTCTGGCTGATATATTTTTGATACGGCATCAGTCACATCAAACCCTCACCTGTATCATATTTCACAAGTGTAAATGCGGCGATTGTGCGATAATACATATACAATATACACACGAAGCTTGGTGCTGTCAGGAGATGGAATCTTGTAGGGATGTTCTGAAGGATAACTTCGTTTTAGAAGATGTGCCACAGCCGCCGTGCTGTATCACTCTACACTCGGGATTCAGACCTATTTGTTTGGAAAAATGGGCTTTAAGAATTGAACTTGCGAGAAAATACAATCGTTCGTATTAAATAAACGTGATCACAGATAAACACTGTAGCTTCAAACAAGAATATATACGTAATTTGCTCGGAACCAGTCTGTTTATATTTTCTTTGATCTCGTGTCTTGTATTTTCTTGCGAAGGTGATGGAAGTGTGGTTTTAACTCTTTGTTGTGACTGATGCCATATGAGCCCGTATCCCGCAAAATATAATATTAGCCAGACATACTTATTTTACGTTAAAATGTTAAAATAAATCTATGTTTACACTCACCATAATTTAACATCTTCAAGGCCATCTAACCTTCGCTGTAGCATCTCTTTTTGTTGCTTGTGTTCTGCTGAATTTCTGAAATATCGTGCGTACCATTCTTCGCCGGCAAGCGGTTCATCGGCATAAAGGCATGCATCATAATCGCCTAAAATTTCGCTATCAACTGCTTCTATAGTTCCAATTTCGTGACTATAGTATGATCTGATTCATCCTCTATAATATATCAAATGTATAATGCGCGTCGAAATTAAGTCCCTTAAGCTACGTCACACCACGCTCGTCGCAGACTCTTGTTGATACGCGACAATTTTACGAAAATCGCTGTTTAGAGCCTCGTATCTCGCGAATGAAAAGAGAAAACCGAAAAATGTTAAAGAACCTATTAACTAACTTTTTGTCCTCTACCAAATATCAAAAAAAAATTTTTGTGACATAAGCACTTTAATAACCCACTGAAATGATACACAAACGCGGTCGTACAAATCTTTACATGTCACATTATTTTGAACGCTGCATATAGTTTTACAAGTGGATGTATAAATGCATATGACCGTGATATGATTTATGTTTTAAAACATTACAAGGTCAAAGGCAAGATGTATGTGGAAGTATATAAATGTCAGCTTTCATTAATAACCTTATTGAGTGACACGGTAAATTAAAGTGCGGGTCCGTCCATCCACATTAAGGATTTAATTAAGAGTGATCGAATACAAACGCGAAACATTCGCGGTTATAGTCGTTACGCGCATAATAAGCAATTATTGGATGAGGGTGAGCATGATATCAAGAATTATTCAGATCGAGGTCAATGTTATCTGCCGAAGCGAAGCTGAGGCGGATAACATAGACCGAGGTCTGAATAATTCTTGATATCATGCGAAAGCCGAATCCAATAATTGTTTTATTATACATTTAATAAAGACATGAGAAACGTATAAAACGATTCCTGTTCATGAGGTAGGAAAAGTACAATTTGAGTATCAAACACCTTGCACAAAGTCAAAGGTCAGCTAAATATTCTATTTCTACTTCTATTTACCCTTTTGTGGCTTTTTTCGTGCTTTCACTATCCTTATCTGCCAATAATTTGGAGAGTTCACTTTCATTCAGCGAAGCAAATCTGCTGTAGGCCATTGTTTGTTTGTTTTTTTTTTCGCGCGCTTATAGGTTCAAGCTTTTGGCCGCGCAAGGGTTTGGGCACGAGAGAGTCCAATAATTTTTTTTTTGGATGCAAGTTCGATCCAAAAAAACAATTATTGGACGCTGATGACGTCATCGGCGGAAAATACGTAATAAATGCCGAATACTGAAAATTAGCTGGTGCTTTCTGACCAATTAGAAACGAGAATACATATTAAATGTATAATAATACTATATAGCACATTAAAATATTAATTTAACATGCTTAATAGCTTTATTTTCGTG